TGTATGTGTCTGTATGTGTCTGTATGTGTCTGTATGTGTCTGTATGTATGTATGTATGTATGTATGTATGTATGTATGGATGTATGTATGCTTGTTGATCTCATCCTCATCTGCATCAGGGCGTTTGAGTAGCCCATGCAGTTGGGATCTCTGTTCTTCCGTCAGTGCAATGCCCAGGCTTGAACTTGAAACAAAAGTCTCTACAGCCATGGGTATGGGAAAATCCTTGCTGGTGTCCTTATCCAGCTCTTCTGGCATGGGTGTCTGGTTGACCACCTTCATGTACTGGTCGGATAGGGTCTTGAGGCGTTGTTGTCCTTCTGTTAGCTTGCTCTGCAAGTCTTGCATGTCCTGTAGCATGGAGGCATACTGAGCTTTGACCTGGTCAAGCTTGGTCTGCAGCTGGGTTTTCCGAATTGAGACTGACTTCAACTCGGTGACCTGGGTCTTGAGCTTCTGAGCAATCGCTCTCGGTGCCCGGAATGGGCTGGGTGAGCTTTGTCACAACATCTTGTACTGCTTGTGGCAAGGCGGTCATGTGGGACTTGAGCAATTCTGTTAGCTCAGGTTCCTCCTGCGGTGGTGGTGGACCAAAGCCCAAGGCTTGCAGCTTGGTCTGTATGGATTTTGGGATGACGTCCCAGGTTGTGGCCAGGAGTTCAGCTGCTGTGGGTTGATCCGGTGTGTCCCAAAGCTGCTCTCCCGGTTGCTTTCGTGGCCATGTGGTTTTGCCATGACCGTAGTCTCGTGGTTGTCCATGTCCCTGGCCTTTGCCCTTGCCTGCGCTGGTCTCTTGCGGCCACCAGGTTCCACACTTGCGGCACTTGGTGCCTGGTCTGACCTTATCTGCCCAGATCCAGTTTGAGCATCTGGTGCTCCTGCAAACTTCAAACCATGTAGTTTCGTCCCCACTGCATGATTGTGGTACTGTATCTCGTAGGGATCACGGGCAAAGTGGTGGTAGAAAAACTCCCCAAGGCCGAAGGAGTGAGGAGGTAGTCCAAAAGGATCACCTAGTTGATGTCCAGGGCGATCAAGTGCCAGCCACCGTAGAGCTCGACAGAAGCGAGGTTCAAGGTCTCGGCTGTTGCGAGCAAAGAACGGGGGTACTTGAGCTTGTCCCTGCTCCAGGCTGTAGGACTTGTCCCCGCTATGCACGCAAGGGGATTTGCGCACGAGCAGGTCTTCCTGGGCTGCCTGCTTGAGCAGCTTATGTCCTTGAGCCATGTAATGTGATGTAATGTAATGTAATGGTATGGTATGGTATGTACGTACGTACGTACGTATGTATGTATGTATGTGTACCATGGATGATATTTGGAGAATGACTACGGACTGATCTTCTGTATCGCTGATCGGGTCTTGCATTGGCTTCTATCTGTATAGTTGTCTTCGATCCTTCACCCAGCATGTTATGGAAATGCTGTGGCAGCATATGAATGAAATATGTAACCCCCAACTCTGGTTGGTGCTGAAGCTCTCCTACGAACCCTCAAGATCCTCAAGACTGCATGAACGAGGAACATCGAGGAACTATTTCTCTGCCCTTGCTCACGTTGATTTGTCCAACTCGTCCTCAAAAACACGCTCACTATCCGGCTCTTTTGCGGTTGAGCCATAACCAAGCCAGAACACAGCTCCTGCGAGCACAGTGCTTCCAGCTTGAAACCACGTCAGCCCCCGCTGACCATCGCCGATGAGACCTTGAGTCGCTAAGCCTGAATAGACGGCAGAGGGCCCTGATTGAAAGAAGATTTCAAAAGAGGCGGCTGTACCTGCAATATCCTCGACAGGGTCAAGGTAGAGAACGGTAAGAGGTACATAGCAAGGCAAGAGGAACCCCATCAAAAAGGAGCTTCCAAGGTAGACCCACAAGCGGTCAGAGCAAAAAGCGGCAATCACAAGCAGCAAGCCAGCTCCCAGACTGTAGGCTGTCATCCAAATCTTTGCAGTTGACAACACAGGCTGGGTCGAGCTCATAATCATCATCAGCCCAATGGCGGAGCATAAGACAAATATCCCCATCAGCACAGATGTTGCCGCCGTACTCTTACCGTAAACAGCTTCTGTGAGATAGCTGGCGTTGGCATTGAATGTAAAATACCCGCACTGGATACAAGACTCAGCAAGGAGCAACATCAAAAGTTGTTGATTGCAAAACACGCGCTTGACACTATGCCAGTAGCTCGATGGAGATTTCACATCAATGCCGGTTTCCCGAATGTAAATGGCAGCATAGTGTGCCAATCCTGCCCAAGCCAGAGACAAAACAAAGAAGGGCACTCTCCAATGACAAACAGAGGCAACAAGTCCTCCTAGAACTGGCCCTACAGCAGTCCCAAGCATAAGCATTCCTCCAACCACTGACAAGGCTGCCAGCCTTTCACCCGGATCTGGGTAGCAGTCGCGAACAATCGCAGAGGTCAAAGGCTCAAGAGATTCGCCCAGTGATTGAATGATTCTGGCAGAAATGAACCAGTAGACATTCGGAGCCAGGGCACAGCCAAACGACCCCAAGATCATCAGTATTGCACATGTCAATAGGATGGGTTTCCTTCCAATCTGATCGGACAAGGGCGCCACAAGAAGGCTTACAAAAGCCTTGGGAAGGAGATTCAGCTGCACCGAACCAGAAAGAATTGTCTCAGATCCGGACAATTCCACTTCCATGCGGGGCAAGCTTGGAATATACTGGTCGGTGGCAACGTACAAGAGTCCGTTGACGGCTCCCAAGTACACCGTCAACATCGTGCTGCCCACCATCTTTGGATCCTTTGGACGCTTTTCGGGGCAACCAAAACACAAGAAGGCCAGTAGAAGTACTGCCAAACCAAAGTAGCTAATGAGCACCACTGCTTTGCAAATCCAGCCATACTCTTGGCCAAGACTCACAAAACCCTCCAATATTCCTTTGGTAAGCTGATGAGAGGCTCTGGAGATCGCAATAGTCGAATTCAATTGAAGAAAGCAAGCCTCCTCCATGGCTGGAAAAAAAGATCTAGATGCCGCGGAGCCGGGATGGATATTGGATTGTTCGACGAGATTCTATCAGCAACATGTCTGAGCCATGAAAAGGCTTTGAAGCATGTTCTCTGGATTGAATGGATTGATAGACTCTGATACACCCAGGCAGCAGACTAACATGATAACTGATAACTGCAACAGAAAAAGGATCCAGTAAGGCTGCGTGGTCTTCCTTGCGTGGCACCCCCACACGTGGGCAAAGGCCGTTTCTCACATGCTGGGCGGTACATCACGGGTCAAGAAGGCGACTTGCGCCATCCTCACAGCGGAAGGGTGTGCCACAGCATCCTTTTCTGCGAGTCCCAAACAGAGCAAAAGCTCTCAAAACAACGGGCAATGTTTCAAGTTTCAAGGATTTCTCAAACCACCATGGACTCATTGACTGTCCTTTGAATCAAAGCTCCCACAGAATGTGCCACGCTCGTCCTAAACAGGGCAACTCAGATTTGAAGACGACTAGATAGGATTCTTATTTCAGGCCCTCCTTTCTTTGTAATAGTAATAGCTTCAAGCCCTTTTTTGTGAGTTGCCCATCATGTGTGGCCCAGACCTAATGCCCGTCCTTGAATCAGCGTCCTTGCTCCTAGTAGCGATGCCCCTTGTTCCTAGCAGCTTCTTGTTACTAGTAGTAAGGCCAGGAGCTGCTGGTAGCGTCCTTGCACAAAGGAGTCGAGAACAAAGGAGTCGAGAACATCAGGCTGAAAACACAAGGCTTCTTCCTTCACCATGCAGCGTTAGCCGGTCTTTTCGTCAGAAAGGATTTAAAAACGACCTCCCTATTCAACCAAACAGAAGCTTCTAACCACGTGGAAACCCTGATCCTTCGATTGATTGCAGCTGATAGGTCTATTGGCTAATGACGGACTATTCACTATGGGTGACATGGGTGTGTGTGAAAAATATCTTTCCAGGCTGGCTCACCGTTTGTGTCCCCGTGTCTAAGGCGACTTACACTACCTGGGAACTAGGAAAAGTATCTTTCTGCCGATATATTATTGCTGAACCATGTCTGAGCATGTCAGGTATGCTGGTAGTATCGTTGATGCATTTCCAGCAATTCCATCAATGATCCAATCGCTTCTGTAAGATCGGCTTCAATAGCAGCACTACAAACATGGTCGTGTCCATCAAGTTCGGCGTGGCATCTATCTTGACCAAGATTCTCTTCCCAAGCTCTTCTCTTCGGCATGGCCTCAGACTCCACAAATTACGCTACTATAAACCAACATACTAGATTACTAGATAAACCAACTAATGCGATGTAGCTCCTGTCACACTGCTCAACTGCAAGTGAACCTAACTCCGAAAATGAACAGAACAAATGTATACAATGGGTTTGCCCAATGACTGATTCATTATATTTTAATATACAATATACATGTTGAATTGTAATACTTGAGCCTACCCAAAGAGAAACTCACAAACATTCCGGGGGGGCACTCCTAAAGTTCAAAGGACAAGGAAAACAATCTGACAAAGCAACTATATAACAAGTTCAACAATACAAAAGCGTAATGCACATGGATTAGGGGCGACCTTGATATTTATGCGGCACATTTTGTATACCCTCTTGGGCAGTTTGCGTCTGCAATTTTTCGATTGGGCCAATCCCCAGCCACACGCAAGGTCCCATAAAGAAACCGGAGCCCTTCAAGGAAAAAGCCAGGGTTTGGGATTTTCGGGTTTGCATGAGATCAGCATACTTAGCTGTCTTTCCTGTTTGTAAAGGTTCTTCAAACGCATGCTTCTGAAGGAACACCGCTAGAAGGAAAAATCCGTTCCTTGATATCTATTGCAACAGACCCCCTGGACTAAGGTTCGCAAATGACCTAACCACATTCAATAGCAGAACCTTTGTTCTTCCCTCGTCATAGGTTCCCATCAACAGCTTCTCCTGCAGCAAAACACCGGTACACAGAACGTGGGAATGCGCTCTTTGTTTCGAGAAATGAGATGCAAAAACGATGTTTGGTGTGAAACTCTGAAGACTCGGAAAACCACCCTGATCACGGTAGAAGCAGAAGCCAAGCCCAGGGTGCCCCAGTACATCCATGTTTGATGCACGGCCGCCCAGGGCAGCGGGGCCCTCACACGGAGCCAAGCAGGGGGGAAGTGCGACCGAACCACGAGGTATCCCCGCATCCAATGCTTCCAAGGAACCCTGGGCCCGCACTGAGGCTCAAGTGATTATGTTCAGATGTTGGTGACAACCACCAATAACTATAACATATTAAAACCCTAGGACCTCCCCGGAGTTCCTTGCGTTTCCATGAGTCGATCCTCGGATATCGTTCTTCATGAGACGATGATCCGCTCAACATGCTCTCAGCATAGGTGTCCTCGATCTGCGATGAAATTCATGCGGTTCGCTGTCTTTTTGCTGCGAGAGGCCTGAGGCTGTCAGATGTCTCTTCGAGACGACCTAAAGGCAGGATTCTCCTGAACAAATTCTCTGACCAAAGTCTTCTCTGTTTCTGACCTTCTTGGCTCTCCCCGGCAGGAAAGCAAGGTCAACTCTGTTCTAAAGTCGCGACTTCCCTCTCCCGGCAGAGAAAGAAGAAGCAACAATTTATTTTGAAGACTTTGAAAATCTCTGAACACTCTGCCTTTCCTGGTGTGGGCGGGTGGGCCCGCACGAACACACTATTCGAGCCAGGCAGCAGGCAGAACATTCACCACAAATGTCAAAAGACCTTATGTGGTTCGCTGTCTTTTTGCTGCGAGAGGCCTGAGGCTGTCAGATGTCTCTTCGAGACGGCCTAAAGGCAGGATTCTCCTGAACAAATTCTCTGACCAAAGTCTTCTCTGTTTCTGACCTTCTTGGCCCTCCCCAGCAGGAAAGCAAGGTCAACTCTGTTCTAAAGTCGCGACTTCCCTCTCCCGGCAGACAGAGAAAGAAGAGGCAACAATTTATTTTAAAGACTTTGAAAATCTCTGAACACTCTACCTTTCCACGATCCCGAACTTACCCTGCTTAGCAGGGTGATTAGAAGAAAGCAAGCCTCACAGGGGGTTCCAACGCTGGACTAGGGCCTGTGCCTCTTCAGACAGTGTCAACGTGGGGAGACGTGATAAACCGTCCTGAATGTATAATTTAGCAGCCCTAATACTGCTCCATCGGCCTTGATCTAAAGCAGCGTCGTACGACAGCGTGTCCTGAAAAAGCGCCGTAGCGCCGCCTCTTCTGAGGCTATATGGACGGAACGCCAGGTGGTGCACTTTGAATGACCGACAGTAGTGCTTAAAGCGCTGCCGAAAAGCGGATTTCGACCCCCGCCAAATGGGAACTTGTAAAAGGTGTTGCTCTCTCAAGTGGTCCACTAAAGTGTCTAAGACCGTGAGTGTCCATTCGTTTTTAATGGTCACAACTTCGGAGATGCCCTTAGCTGCAGACGTCTTAGTTTCTGCCAAGCGAATCAGTCCAATGTCGTTACGGATCAAGATGTCTGCTCCGCAGAGTTCTAAGAGTTCGCCTGTACGAAGAAGTCCATCGAAAGCAGCTAGAATGAGGCCTGCGAACACGAGGTCTCCACGAGCAATCGCCTTTCCAGCGAATGCATAAGCTATCTCACGAGGTAGAGGTGGAGCTCTGCATGGAACTTCTAGGCGGCGCCAAATGCGAAACAGTTTCCAAGTTTGCAAAAGTTTTCCCTTGCACCATGGCATGAAGAACTGGAGGCCACAAAGCCCCGCCGAAGCGTGGTACGAAGGACGTACGGCTTCCCACATTTCTTCCAAATGGTCGGCAAGAAGTTCATCGAGCTCTATTTCATCTTTGGCTTGACGTACTATCGGGAGCAGCCTTTTAGCATACTTATAGTATTGTTTGAGCGTCTTGGGTTGTACCAGCGAATCTCGAAGGACAATCCCTCGTCTTTCACGGACCCGCTCGGCCGTAGTCCGGCGGCCCAGGACCCATTTACGCCCGGGAGGCATGATCTGTAGGGTTCTCTGTGGACTCAATGTGACCTATGATTAAATATATATTAAAGGCCAACAAATGAGCATTGAGCTGTTGCAACACGCGCTGAAGCTTCCGAGACCCTGATCTACCTTTTCCAATGACGCTCATGGACACGTGCGAGTCCGTGACATGGAGCGGCGACGAATATGATGAACCATAGATAAAAGGATGGCACGAAGTTCTAATGGGTTAATGTGTTCTTCGTGCTTCCAACGAACGCTAAACACCGGACGCCACACCCACCAAGAAGCCTCCACCCCTTGACGGGGAAAGGCTTTTGGGTTGAGAATGTCCCCTGAGGCAATCCTCACATCTGATCCGGTGTGGTTCACTTTGGTCAACAGGATGCGGTTCAAGTCCTCCGTATTGTAAGAACCTTCCCAAAGGTGCTTGGCTTCGGAGGGGTGCTCTGAAGCCTGGCGCCATCCCCATGCGGTGTGCGATCCATTCATAAGACATTCGGGGTAGGAAGCGTTGGCAGAGAGCTGCCCCTGCAATGCAAAAGGAGTATACAGAAAAGCTGTCGCCAAGGAGAGACCGCCTAATGTCTTCCACGGCTTGCTTCCCTGCCTCCTTCTGCTTTGAGGCTGCCATGCAAAGCTTTGCGCGCCCAAAGCCGTAGCCGAGCAGCAATTCACGCTCTTCTGCCGTGGCCAGGCGCCACTGATCACCTTTCCAAAACAAAAACTCGGGGGAATATTGATATGGAGGGAATCTGTAAGCGTCTGAAGTCCATCGGGAGATAGTGGCTTCTGTGCAGCGCCGTATTCCCGCCGGCTGAGGGGGTGGACGATCTCTTTTGATCGCCTTTATGCATGTGGGCAGGGGAGTCTCATGCTGCTCCCCCATCCACTGCCAAGAAGGTTCCACCCACTGACCTGGTTTAGGATAGTCAGCTCTTGCGTATACACGTTTCCAATAACTATGTTCGGTCACCTCTAGGTCAGTGAAGGCATCCTCCAATCGTTCAGAACACCAAGCGAATCTCGGGCGCCTCATAGGCACAGAGTCCACACTATCCAATTCGTAAGGTGACAAACCAAACAGGTTAGAGATCTCGACCGCCGCTGTCCTATCCATTGAAGATACTCAATGACCTTCTTAAACAGGACCCCTGAACCAAACTCCTTCTTCAAAAGTTCCTCGATCCGGGGTATTTCAAAGACCAATGAAGACGCAGGACCTTTCAACCCTTGTCTGTTCGCACGTACTCTAGACAGGTCGACGCAGGGGAACCCTGCCCAGAGATGAACCTCTTCCGCCATGGGAAACTCAAGGTGCCACTGCTTGACCGTTGCCGCATCGACCAGCCGGACATCCGGCACGGTCTTGGCGTGCGGCCATCTTCGCTCAACTATTCTGATGGCAGGCTTGTGAAGTTCCACGGCTATCAGTCCCATAGGGCGCACGTCTAACACATCATAAACCCGGAAACAACCACCAATCCCATTGAACAAAGATATAACCAGGATGGGTACAGTACCAACATCTCCGCTACGCACTTGGGAACTAAGTACAAAGTCCTTTCCTTCAAGGCTCAACTCCGGACCTATCCCAACTGCCCCGCCCTTAAGGGAGGCATCGGATGCGGTAGTGCAGTCGTCGATCGAGGCCCCCAAGAAAGTGTGCATCAGGGAGGCTAACAAGATCAATTTCCAGAGCTCTTGTCTTGTTCCAAAAATGAGTGCTGGCTTCGGGCGCGCCGTTGAGATAAATTGCCATACCTGCGAGAGCACGACCATAGCCGGCCTTCTGAACTGCAAGGCATGAACCCAGCGTCCAATAACCACCTGAAGTGCCTTCTTATTCAGGAACCTCCCTTGAAGAAGAAACAAAGTGGCATGAACTAACCGGATGAACCTGACACCTGAGACCGAGATCGAATGCGAGTCCCCATCGATCCACGCTCCCAACTCCTGTGCGGTCGAAGCACCTGACACCCTCTTCTTCTCCGAGGATACCAGGCCAGAGCGGCTCCACACATCCTCGACAAGTTGATGGAGTTTGCACCCCTTCTCAAACGATGTCGAGCCCGAAACCCTTTGACCGCACAAAAGTTGTCAAGGTAGACGTGCCACCAAGGTCTATCTCGAGATTGCCCTTCGTGGACGCACTCCGTCAGGAACAATGGGAGCGCGCAACCCCGTGAGATCTGAGACTCTGGATCAGCACCACCCAAATATGCGACCCGTTCAGCGACTTCTTGCATGAGGGCCACTGAGCTGACCCAGCCCATTGGGATGACCCTGCATGCCATGACGTAGGTCCTATTGTCATCAAATCCCAAGTCCAGTCCTGAGACCTTAACATTGAAAGCCAAGAACCGCGTCCACTGTGGCGGTAGTCTAAACAACGACAAAAAGAACGCTGAAGAAAGGTCGCTCTGGAACAAACCTATGTGGTCATCAGCCTCTGTAGTGATTCCCAACCAAGACGTGATTGAAGGTAGGTGGCGCACACAACCAGCGATGGGCTCCATGACACTGTTGATCGGCACAAGGTTCATAATTAGACGCAGAACCGACCTCCCATCGCTTAATTTGGTTGGTTTCTCGACCCCAAAAAGACCGGACAGGACAGGTTGTTCCCTAAAATGGTAAACCGAGTCAAGAGGGATCCAATCACAAATCCGCCGTTCTACCAGTTCTCGGCAAAGAGGAAGGAGTTCGTCAGGTGAACAATGAACCTTACCCTGCAAAGGGGGAAGAGTTTGCTCTCGATCAGGAACAACAAGAGAGTGAGGGTCACGAAGAAGTCTTTGGGTACCTTGGAGAGAGGAGTTCCATGACATCTACAGAGGCGCCATGCTCACCAGGGGGGAGAGCCGGAAGGACCTGGTCCCGAGTCAGCACGTGACAGGTGCCCATCTCCTCCCCAGTGTATGACAGCCGAATGCCTTTTAGCTCACTCCTAAACGGAGAAAGCGCTGCACTGACGCTAGGGTGGCGGCCGCGGCGCGAGTTTGCATCTTGTTCGACGCGCTCATCGCCAGCGGCTGGAGCCGTCCTCGCATGGAGTTGAGTCCCACAGTTGCGCATAGGCGCCAGGCGTCGTTCTGCCAGCGCTCCACGAAACCGGGCGTCACAACATGTTCCAGTGAGGCGGCACGCAAGGCGCCCTCACAAGCATCAAGAGCCCCAAGGGGCAAAGGGAAGATCGCCCCGCCAATCGAAGCGACCGGTGGCCTCGTGCAGCACTCAAACACTGTACGCATGACCATCTTGTCAAATTCAAGCTCACCTCTGTACGTGATCCTTGCCAGCATCCAACCAAGTGCGCAACCAAGCTCTCCTAAAGTTGCCGTGCACTGTAGCACCCGGTTGAAAACTTCAAGGCCGGCATGCAAGCATGGTGTCTGATCTTCAGCCTCTGTGGGCACGGTCGTGACCAGCCCTTGGGAAACATCCTCACTCTCTACTTCTCCGTTGGCTTGTCTCCTGGCTCCTTCTCCTTGTCTTTCTTCGACTTCCCTTTTCTCTGGCCTTTTCCTCTTCCTTTTGGCTGCCACCACGAAGTCTCTGCGTCGTTTTCGTAATGGTGCCAGTCCTGACTCTTCTTCCATGGCGCCAGCCCAGGGTCGGATCCTGAGCTCGGCTGACTTGTCGTCCGTGCTTCCTGGCCGCCAAAAGTACTCCATCGCTTAGAGCGGTGCCCTCGGGCATGGGCATGACTTCGAGATGCCTTGCCGATGACCAAGAAGCGTCTAAAAGCCACTGGTGTATGGCGATGAGCCTTCCGGCCAGCACGTCCCCGAGCCGGGCCAGCTGGCCCTGCCTCAACAAGTCGATGCTCGTGGCGAGGTTGTGCATCTCCCGTAGTTCTTTGGGTCGATGTCCAAACTGCGGGCGAATGGTCAGGGCCAAGTATGACACTACCTTCACTCCCGAGGTCAAGTCCCCCTTCAAAGCTGCTGGAGTGTCCACCTCCGCGGACTGTTGAAGTTGATCTGCAATATGCTCCAGCAACAAGTTCAGGACCGAGCCCGGGTGTTTCTGTGACCTCTTCCTCAAAGGTGCTTCCAACTCTGCTCCTTCGTCCGTCGAAGGGGATTCCTCCGAGTCGCTCCTGGAGTCCGATGAACAGCTGATGGTCCGCCCATCGGAAAGGGTCACTGTCCGGCGTCTCTTCCTCTTCTTCTTTTCTTTCTTCGACTTTTTCTTTTTCCCGAAAGCATTGCGAAGGGTTCTTCCGGAAAATCCTTTGAACACTGATTTGAACACTGACACTTCGACACTTACACTCAGACACACCTAGACATTGACACTTTCACCACACTGGCAGGGTAAATAACATGAACGCTATACGTAGCCCTGTGAAAGTGGAAGAGCGAAAGCTGTCAAAGTATGCAAGTGGAAGTATGCAAGTGTAAGCACGGGTATGAGTATGCATGCAATGAGTATGCAAGCATGCAATGAGTAGGCAAGTGAACTAGCACGGGAGATGTCCTAATGAAAAAACATTTCCCCACTTTATAAATTCTCTCTTAAAGGCGGAGGGTGGGACGAACAGCGTCAACCGAAAGTGCAACCCTCTGCGGAGATCGTGCGTGTCGAGTGCGCGAAATGCAGGTGAGAGTGCGATGTGCCGGGTGCCCGCGCAACCCTCTGCGGAGATCGTGCGTGTGGAGTGCGCGAAATGCAGGCGAGAGTGCGATGTGCCGGGTGCCCGCGCAACCCTCTG